CTGCGTTTGTTGGAGAGAAATTTGTCCAAGAAGCTAAAAGATCAACAATATGCTACAAACAACATGACAAAAGCTGACATGCATAAAAGGGCTTGGACCCCGGTCATAACTGCTTTGCAGTTCTAGTTTCCCTTTTAAATGGTGCCACATTTGTAAGGACTATGCATTTATGGGATGAGCAGTAGAGCTGAGTGTGTGGGTTGCACACATGACAATAATTGCCATATCTTCTCTTGCTATAAACACATATTTTGAGCTTCTGGTACACCCAGGTGCTGCCAATCAGGTGCCCCGTATAAGATTTATTACCAAGAAAAAAATGTCACAACAAAGAAATAATCTAACAAAAAGAAATCTATTTCCCTTTTCTTTTTTTCTTTTTTTTTTCTTTTTTCTTTTTTGCTAATTATATAAATATGACTTTGTGGAATACAACTGTATTGCACAACAATACGTGTACATGTGTAACATAAAAACAACAGAGCCAATTTTTTTTTACTTCTATTGTCTAAATGTTTGTTTTGCAGACTGCCATCTGAGATTCTCATGAAGATCCTGTCATACCTGGATGCCTCGGCGCTCATCTGCTTCAGCATCACCAACAAGCGCTTCTGCCAGCTGGCCAATGATAAGTAATTACAAGTTATTTTTTTATTCTGTTTTTAATAGTTTTAAAAAATTCAATAACACAAATTTCTAATGATAACAAATTCATTTACTAAAGGTATTAGGAAGCTTGAATTATGATCTAGGAACTGAAAAAAGTGAGAAAAGAAGTGTGTTTTTAATACTAAAAACAAAGAAAATTCTATAATTTTAGCAATGCAGTAAAATGGCTCAGAGACATCCCACCTTCTCAGGTTTAACCAGTTACAGTCTGCTGCATCATGTTTCAACATCTGTTCTCCTGTATGAAGGTCAGTTAGTTTGGATTAGTCTCTARGTGCCAGTAGTTGGCCAGCGTTATAAGACTGGAATCACATCCCACGTTCACTGCCATCTCATCCTGCCATCTTGGATCAGACATTTGAAAGATGTCTACCCAGTTCCTCTTTCCGGGTCACACTGCAGCTGGTGCCCATGTCCAGCAGTCACTGTACAAAAGGCGGGGCACACCCTGGACCGGTCACCAGTCCATCACAGGGACATGTAGAGCCATAGAACACTCACATTCTCACCCACAGAAACTGTTTAGAGTTACCAATGAACCCAAGCACAACAATTTAGATCTTCTGATTTGTGGTTACAAATCGCTTCAACTGAAGTTCTACCTGATCACAAGACAAATTAGAGTAATTATATTTTCATCATTGGAAATTATAGTTTGATCAAGTCAACACTTTTTTTTAAATATATGTTGTTGTAGATTTTTTCTTGAGGTAGCAGTACCTTTCTTAGCAAGAACTCTTGTGTTTTGGTTATCATTCTGTTATAAAAAAAAAAAACAAAACAAATACAGCCGAACTGAAGCTGCACTATTAATAAATGTTGAACTGTGGACAGTTGCTGAGTCCTGGATGAAAAATCTCAAAGAACTACTAATACTTAAAGTGCCTGTGACATAAAATTTTAGTAATACGTGTGAATGCATGTTTAGAAAGAGGACATTGATAAAATATAGCAAAATAAATTTCATGTCGTTGCGATGAACAGTTGTTGAGATATTTGCCTGTGAAGTAACAGGAAGTGATGTTAAAGGGGAATGTCTGCATGTGAACAGAGCATTGCTACAACAGCCAACATCCCAGACTGTAGAGAAGAATCTGATGTTTCTTAAAATGATTTTGAGTCTCTACAACAGAGAGTTGAAGATGAGTCAGAGTTCAAATAATATTGTTTCAATGAACAAAGACAGAGAGTTTTCTTTGTTAAAGAGTTCCCCTTTGATGTCACTTCCTGTTTCACTTTGGCTGAGCCAAGTTCAAAAGAAAATAGGCCATTTATGGGACAAAATGGGTTAAATCATGTGAATTATTCCAACTTTCTTAAATATAAAGATGTTTTCTTTGACTTTTTGTATTTGTAGAACATGCATGGCACAGGCACTTTAAGTTTTGCTTGTTATTGTTGAAGTATTTTGTCAAATTAAAGCAGACTTTCTTCTGATTGAAATATCAATTGATAAGGAAATTGCACACAAGTTTATTTTATCCCCTGTGTTGTAAATGTTTATCCCTTTCCCACTAATTTCAGCTTTTTCAGATAACTATTCAAAAGTCAACCTAACTTCTTTTAAGTGTAGCACTGAGTCAGGGTTAGTGCCAAGGTGAGGAACCAACGAAAGGAGCGGATAGAAGTCAGGTAGATGAATGACGAGGAGAGTTTATTCAAGGTGAAACCAAGGCAGAGAATTGAATTTACAAAACAAAACACAAAAAGGACAACTTATAGTGGCTGATTGTGGAAAAAAACCTAATACCATTCAATAAAAACCTTGTAATTTTATACAAAGCAGGCTGATAAAATCTACAGTAAGAATACAGATATAATCCAGATACAAAACAGATCACATTACCAAACAATTGAATACACAGAATAAAAAATTAATTAACAAAATTATCAATAAACCAAACTCAAAAGTCAAACACATCATTGACAAAAAGGATCATTTACCAACAACAGTTTGTTAATTTATTCTTTCACTGTCATCAATCCAGTGGTCTATGGCACAAGTTTTACATCGCTGAGCTTGAAAAGGATAAAAAGTGGACACCTAAGACCACAGATGGACCTCTGTCGAAGATGCAGCTTCAGGATCGCGCCGCTGGTTACATGAAGCAGATGTACTTTGAGAAGAGACTAACTCGTAACGTGAAAAGATGGAAACGACTCCTCGGACACATCAGCTGTCACACAGGTCTGCCAAGCATAACGGAGCCAGTCCTCAGGTGCAGAAAAAATAAAACAAACAAAAAAAAAGACATTTCAAATCAACCTCTGTATAAGTTCAATATGTCAGCTTTGGAAGCACTGTAGGCTAAATGCTTATTTGATAATTGTGTGAATTTGTTTTATATTTTTCCACCCACTGCATAAATCATAGTATAAAAATTTACAAAATGTATTCTAACCTGCAGCAGGGCTGTTAGGTATCTGTGCTTTTAGGAAAGAGTAAAACTTTTGCGATCCTCCCTCGTTGTTTAGAAAGTTCAGGGGCAGAAACCTGAGACAATCCTGCTGTTTGTTTTTCATATCGCACTTAATGACACTTCCTTATTAAAGGTGAGGAAGGAGGTCTGTGTCTGAACGTGGTCTGCTCAGAGGGATGCTGGCACGGGGGGGGGGGGGGGGGCAGCTACTGCTCTGACTCCTCTGCAGCTTCCGCTGTGTTTTTATAACCTCTGATTAGAGGCTGTGCAGCACTCAATTCTGAGGTTCTGTAGCAGTTGTTGTGCTACAGAGGAGAAGTAGAAATAACTGTGTTCTTTGCAGAGGCTGTCTGCATTGTTGAAGTAAATTACCCTGGCCCAACCCGCACAATGATGCCTCCTTCATTCATCCCACCAGGGGAGACGTTTCCTCATGGGGAGGTTTGTCTGTTAGAGACACTGAAGAGCATGTGATTTGCCTCAGTAATGATCATTTCACAAGACATCACACATACGAGCGGTGCAGAGTGAATTCCCTTCGGACCTCTTGGGGCCTCCTGGGCTGCTCCGGATTTTAGTTTTGTTCTTCCATTTAAGCTGAAATCGGCTGGGCTCTGCGCGAGACGCCGGCTACATCACAGTGGGGGCAGCCGGGAATCACAGTGTAGAGACAGAACTGGATCAAGAGATTCAGCTGCAGCTTYGTTTCATTCATTGCACATTATTTATTTAGTAAAACACGTTAAATATATTAACTTCTTTTTTTCCCCGATTTAAAAAGTGATGATGAGTTTTTACCTAATCCTGGTCACTATGATGCATTCACTTTAAGGAAATGGACATCAAAAGGGGCAATATCATGTAAAATCAACTTTTTTGAGTTTTGTATCATTTTATAATGTTATACTCTCATAAAAAACATGCCCAAAGCCTTGCTTTGACTCATTCATGCATGTTTGAGAAATCCTGCAGCGTTTTTAGGCAGCCATGCTGAGGAGCAAAACGACAGGTGGGGACCAGAAACGTCTCTGGGTTGTGTCCTTTTGGGACAAGCTCCTCCTCTGGGATGTGTCCTTAAGCCGAGCTTCCTCATGGCAGAGCGTCCCCCCACCCGCTCCGCGACTCCAGCAGGCTACGTGCAGAAATGGGCGTGACCGAAGTGGTTGGATTTTCTTAAAGAGACAGAGACCTATTTCAAGGCATTTTGAAACTGTCAAGATGAGAAGTAAATTGTTTTGGRGATTTTTACAAWTATATACTCTTTCACAAGCTGAAAATGTGACATGGTTACTTTATTTTAGTATAAAATTGAAATGTAGGCTTAGAAAGCACATAATATCGCCCCTTTAAATCAATAGTTCTGAGTAATAATTAGATAGTTCTTTGAAAAAAACTTAGTTTTGAGAAACAGTTTATTTCTGACCAAACTACTGTGCTTGTTAGAATGGAGTCAAGACCAAAGTGGAGTGCTGCTGGATTGAAGCATATCTACTATTAATTGTGAACTGTCCCTCTTTTTTTTTATAAAAAATAAAATAAAAGACCTGTTAAATTCAACACTGCCACTCCAGTTAAACCCTACAATGCTTTGTTCCACAATCGTCTCTCCTTCCTTCAGAAACTTGCGTGTCACCTGGGAACTGACAGTCACCGATACGTCTGGACATGAGTGTACTTTGGAGCTGAGCTGGTCCCAGTTCTGCAAGACTTCGCTGACACTGTGCTGGAGCGGAGGCGTCTCCCTGCCCCACTACGAGCACATCTCCACCCTTCAACTCCACGGCGTCAGGAGAATTGCCCTGAGCTGCCCCGGCCTGAAGAAGTAAAGACAAAACGCATCCATTTCAACCCTCTCTCTCTCTCTCTGTTTGTCTGCACATCTCTCTGTTGAAACCTGCTGTGTTTCTTCGCTTGCTCTGTCAGTCCCGGCAAGAGGTCCCTCATGGCAACGCTGGACATGCAGACTCTAAGTGAAAGCACACAGGTCATTGGCCAGGACAGACTGGTGCAGCTGAAGCTGTTACAGCCTGGAATCCTCATTGGTGTCTGGAAGGTAATTACTTCACAGCCAGCCATGCTGTTTCTTTCTTATTATTCATTAGTTTATTGCAGCTGAACCAGTCTGATCACTACTTATTCATCTCAGCGACATATATCTGTTTTCTAAATAACTTATTTTGCAGGACCAGTGCTCCGTTGCCTTTATCCTGTTCACCCTCCACTTCTACAGACTGGTAGAGAGAAGCATTCAGGGGTCTTCTGATTGGTACGTTGTATTTATTAACATTCATACATTCTGCAGATTATATTGAAAGGCTTTGATAACTGATGAGACGCTTTTGATGCTTCTGCTGTGATCCATCTATAACACACCACAGCATCAGCTCTGAGATTTTAACTAACAAGGTTAAAACAGCCCAATTTTTTTCTTGTCACGTCAGGCCCACCTTGAAGGCAGCTTTGGACCTTTGTGCCAAAACGTACTCTATTTTATTTCTCACATTCAGCTGAAAACCCGATCTAATCTACTTGATAAAGRGGCTGAGGGTCTCACATTTTGTGGGTATAGCTCCCTCTAGTGGCGCGCTGAAAATAGTTACCACAATTTGTGTTTTATATTTAAAATCAGTACACAATGTGCCTTTGTAATGAAACATTTCTTAATTTATACAATTTTTTTGTTTCAGTCCTTATGTGGAGGAAATTGTCAAAGCCCCTTTTGATGACGTAGACCCTGAATATGGTCTCCATGGTTACCAACTACACATTGCTCTCAACAGCACTGAAAGCGAGCTCATGTCCGAAAGATTTCCTCATCTCTTCTGTCGCAGAGGTAACCTTTTATGTGCATTGCATACTCTTAAACACTGTGAGGGAGCMTCCCTGCTCCTTCACACTCTAATCAGCAGACTGTGKGTCACAGGTGCCKCAGCACATACACAYAGAGCCATGTCACCCTCAAATTGTCCTGTTTTAGATTTGTATTTGTTTAAAATGTGTAGAAACAAAGCGTACTGTACTTAAAAGGAATGCAACGATTGTGTTTAATGTTATGCCTAAGTGGGAGGGGCTTAAGAGTTCCWACCCAACACTGAAGAGGCAGGTAGAGATTAATGGGTTTACAGATTACAGTGAAGGTGGCAATGGAAAAAGAATAGTGTTTTTTTTTGTAACAAAAATAAGTGTGTTTTCACCCTGGAGAAAGAAGTAAAGCTTGGGAGAAACTACAGTTTGCTGACGTGCCATTGGATTTGTTTGAGTAATTGTTCACTCAAATTCAAGGAAAGTACTTTTAAAGAAGAACCCGGTGTCATAAATTGTAAAATTAGTATGAAAAAGATAATTTAAAAATGTCTCTTGCTGTGGAGTAATAC